ACATACCATTCACACGCAAATGCATTCGCACACGCATACTCGTACAAACAGACGGCAGGATGTCGTGCAATGTGAATTTGCACCCAACACCCCTGGGATGCAGACCCCTCTCCAGCCTGCCCCCCACCGTGCCACGCCAGCGCCGGCAGCTGCCACATAGATCTGTACACGTCCTTGCTCTCGTGGAGATCCCAAAGCACCCGATTGCCCAGCTTCCCCTTATAATTGCGAGCCCCATCCGTGTTGGTGTTCACCCCAGCCTTGCCAAGCTTACAGAGGGAGATAAGGTTGGCCTTCAGGTCGGGGACGAGGAGAACGTCGTGCAGCACCACCGGCTTGCCATCCGCTCCCTTAAACGCAGCTCGTCCCGCACCAGCCACCTTCAACATGTGTCGAGAGGCAGAGCACACCTCATTAATCGGTGCAGCGCGTACGTCGTCCAGCAGGTCCTTGCGCGGCGTCATTGTCCAAGCAGCGCCTGTGTCCAACACCCAATATTCCAGGGGGTGCAGCTCTGCTCCAGCCTTAGCAGATGCGTCTCCTTGCTCCCCCTTGTCTCCCATATGGAAGAATTGACCCGCGGTGCGCTCCTTCTTCTTTTCCACACCACCATTGCCCTTCGGGTTGTTGTCGGACGAATCAGCGACCATGTTGGCGCCTTTTTTCTGGTTCCTCCGCGCGCCGCCATCCTGGTGACGATTCTGGGGGGTCCATCCATCGGGTTTCTTATAGCACAAAAACCAGGGGTGCCCTTCCTTCTCACAATACCAGCAACTCCCTTTCATTTTGCCACCAGCACCCGACTTGCCCCCACGTCCAGATTTCGCACCGCGACCCCAACCGGTACCTCCTTGTTGGTCGTTGGAGTCGTCCTCTTTCTTTGCACCGCGTCCAGCACCACCAAAGCCACGTCCTTTGCTACATCGGCTCCCTTGCATTCCGTAGCCGCTGCTGCCGTCGTCTCCACCCTTCAGTTGGCGGCGACGGAAGTCCTCCTCCAGAATCTTCGTCCGCACCCACTCGAGCGTCCACAAGCTCAGGTTCTGCGGCAGGCTCAATCCGCTCGTGAATTGAAGCCACGATTTCGGCAGCAGCGAGAGCATCTTCAGGCACTTGGTCTGCTCCGGGTAGATGATTCCCGCGGTCGCCAACTTCGCGTAGAGGTCGCGCAATTTGTCCAAGACAGGTTGTACCGGCTCTCCCTCGCTCAGGCGCAACGCGGACAGCTCCCTCTCCAGCATCAATGTTGCAACAACGGAGGTCGGGGCGTGCAGCTCCATCAACTCCGACCACGCCTTCGGACCGCACTCAACCTCCGGCAGCAGGTGCATGACGTGGTGACGCTGGTTCAGCTCCAAACTCTGCGACATCAAGTAGTAGCCAGCCGAGGCGCGCTAGTCCCAATCTTCCTGAAGGGCGGGGTCACTCGGTCTAGGCTCCTCCCCAATCATTAGTTTCAGCAAACCGATCTGACGGAAATAAAGTTGCATTTTTCAGGCCCAATCATCATAGCCCTCACCATTTAACTTCTCGACGGTGAAGTTTTTCAGCACCTCCTTGATCAGCGAGCCCTGGCTTGTTCGCGCTCCCCGTGGCGTAAAAACTCCAGAATCATGGCTGCCGCTACGATCTTGGGCTGAAGATTCACCAGCTACCGCGGAGGTGTTCCCCGCCATAGCTACCTATATCGAGTATCACTATAACGCAGGCGTTGCCAGTTCACTGAGGCGTCCACCCAGCCCCTCCAAAGGGAGCTGAACAAACCAGGGCTCGCTGGTTAAGGAGGTGCTGAAGAATTTCACCGTCGAGAAGTTCAATGGTGAGGGCTATGATGATTGGGACTGGAAAATGCAACTGTATTTCCGTCATATCGGTTTTCTGAAACTTATGATTGGGAGGAGCCTAGATCGAGTGACCCCGCGCTGCAAGAAGATTGGGACGAGCGATCCTCGGCTGGCTACTATTTGATGTCGCAGAGTATGGAGCTGAACCAGCGTCACTACGTCATGCACCTGCTACCGGAGGTTGAGTGCCGTCCCAAGGCGTGGACCGTATTGAAGGAGCTGCACGCCCTGACCTCCGTTGTTGCAATGTTGATGCTGGAGAGGGAGCTGTCCGCGTTGCGCCTGAGCAAGGTAGAGCCGGTGCAACCTGTCCTGGACAAGATGCGCGACCTCTACGCGAAGTTGGCGACCGCGGGAATCACCTACCCGGAGCAGAGCAAGTGTTTGAAGATGCTCTCGCTGCTGCCGGAGTCGGGGCTTAATTTACGAGCGGATTGAGCCTGCCGCAGAACCAGAGCTCGTGGTCACTCGAGTGGGTGCGGACAAAGATTCGGGAGAAGGACTTCCGTTGCCGCCAACTGAGGGGTGGAGACAACGGCAGCAGCGGCTACGGGATGCAAAGGAGCCGACGTGGGGGAGGAGGTGGCTTCGGTGGTGCTGGACGCGGTGCAAAGAAGGACGACGACTCCAACGACCAACAAGGAGGTACCGGTTGGGGTCGCGGTGCGAAATCTGGACGTGGGGGCAAGTCGGGTGCTGGTGGCAAAATGAAAGGGAGTTGCTGGTATTGTGAGAAGGAGGGGCACCCCTGGTTTTTGTGCTATAAGAAACCTGATGGATGGACCCCCCATAATCGTCACTAGGATGGCGGCGTGCGGAGGAACCAGAAAAACGGCGCGAGTATGGTCGCCGATTCGTCCGATAACAACCCGAAGAGCAATGGGGGTGCGAAAAAGAAGGAGCGCACCGTGGGCCAGTTCTTCCATATATCCCTCCTTGTAATTTCCTGCCGTGTAGCGGTATGGTGTGGAGATGGTAGTCGGTGTGAGTGCGAAGCGTTTGGCGATGGTGTCCGCGTACTTCGCGGCGCTGAGATAGATCGCGTTTTCCTTTTCTTCGATGTTGAGGCCGAGGTATTGCGTGATGGTAGATGAGATTGTGAGAGTGAGATCCTTCTGCAGCTCCCCTTCAAACCAGGTAGTAACACCGTCGGTCGGCCGATGTAGAGAAGATCGTCTACGTAGACGATGAGTAGAATGTAGTCGGTTCCCTTTGTGAGCCGGTACATGCCCTACTCGTGCGGTAGTTGGTGGAATCCGATGCGAATGAGTCGGGCGTGAAGATACTGCTGCCACAGTCTCGGGGCCTGTTTGATCCCGTACAAGGACTTCAACAGCTCACAGACGTGGTTGGAGTCCGTGCTAGAGCCATGTGGTAGCTCGACGAAAATCTCTGCGTCGACGGGTGCGTAAAGAAACGCGTTGGTGATGTCGATTTGGCTTCTTCTTCTTCATGGCGGCGATCGCGAGGAGAATCCGTAGTGATGTGTATCGGCTGACCGGGGCGAATGTCTCGGTGAAGTCGCGTCCATGTTCCTGGTCGAAGCCGCGTACTACCCAGCGTGCTTTGAACTTGTCGATGGTACTGTCTGCCTTTGTTTTCACACGGAAGACCCACTTCCTGGTGAGTATAGTCTTGTTTCGTGCCACTCCGATGAGAACAACTTTCCAGGTGCTGCGTTCCTCGAGTGCTTTCAGCTCCCTGTCCATGGCTTCGCGCCATTTTTCCTTATGCTCCCCCCCCAGAGTCTGCTGAACTATGGCAGGCTCCTTAGGAATCGCCGTGCCGTGGACTGCGGTGACGAGTCCGAGTATCTGGAGTCCACTCTGTGTGTAGCGGGGGAGTCTTGTATCCTCGGGATAGACTGCTTTGTCTCCCGTTTCTGGATCAGGTATGAAATTGGGTCCTACGCGTTTTGCTTCGTCGGTGTTGAATTGTGCAGGTATAACGTAACCCTCGTCGGCGAGGTTGTAGAAGACTTCGGCGTTGACGCTTTCCCAAGGATTGTCGTCATCCATCGGTACATCCATCCAGCAGTATGGGAGTGGTCCGGATTCTTCCGAGGCTCCATCCACATTTTGCTCGTCAAAGTCAGCTTCGTCGGCTGCCGAAGCGAAGGCTCGGTCTCCACGAAATCCACTGGTGAGGTCTCACTGTTCTGCCAAGTTGGCTTGGTAGGAGTCGAGGGTGAGTCGTTCGTAAAAAATGACATCACGTGCTGCCACTGTTTCCTTTGTCTGAACGTCGAAAATTTTCCATGCGTTGTAATTCTTTTCGATGCCCAGGTGTAGTCCCCACTGTGCGCGTTGGGAGAATCGGCCGGCTCGTGCAGTTGGGGGTCAGTACTGTACCATGCAGCTGCAGACGCGCAACATTTTTGTGCTGCCAAGTTTTCCTGTCCACAGCAGATACGGTGATGCATTGTTCGGGAGCGATGATGACGAGAGCATGTTGTGCAGCATCACGGCATGGTCCATTGCTTCGGGCCACTGGTGGTTGGGTAGCCGCATGCCATGTAGCAGCTTGCGCATGGTGTTCTGGAGAGTTCTGTTCATCCTTTCTGCTACACCCTGCTGTTGATGGGCGTAAGAAAGGGAGATGAGCTTCTTGATTCCCTTCTCTGCCAGGTAGTCCTTGAAGCGTTGTGAGGTGTATTCTCCGCCTCCATCTAACTGAAAACTCTTTAGCTTCACCCCCGATTCTCGTTCTGCTGCTAGAAGCCAGACATAGAAGGCTTCGAAAGCCATGTCGCGGCTCGGGAGATTCAGGTGCCAGACGTATCGTGTGGCGGCGTCGATGAAGGTGATGGTGTAATTGTAGGCTCCTTGTCCTGGTACGCGATTGTATAAGATGTCGCTGTACACCTTTTCGAGTGGTGCGTAAGCTTGCACTTGGGTTGTGGTGAAGGACGAATGGCAGATGCGGTAAGTCGGCTTCAGGGCAGGTGAAGCATGTTCCTCTTGCTCGTTGGAGTTCTCTCCCGTCGTGTAGTAGGAGCGAATCTTTGTCGAACACTCCTGCTCTTATTGTATTGTTTAACGTTGTATTGCTTGGGTGTCCCATCCGTGCATGCCAGATTTCTTTGCTGGCACAATGTCCAGGTGAGCGCTGATACATTTCGGAGTTGGAGTAGAAGCCGGCGGTGAAGTTGGTGCTTCAATAGACTTCTTGTTGAGTCGGAGCTAGCTGCTGCGCGGGTGTTGGTGGCGAATCGTCGACGAAGATTGGTGTCGTTGAAGGACCAGCGATTGGCGTCATTGTTGTTCCCGTTGCCGGTGTTGTTTCTACTGCTGCTGGTGCTGTCTCTGCTGCTGCCAATGTTGTCTCTGCTGCTGCTGATGTTGTCCCTGCTGCTGCTGGTGTTGTCTCTGCTGCTGCTGATTGTTGAATCGTTGCTAACACTCTTGTTCGTTCTGCCTCAGGTATCGTGTGAGAATGCCAGAAACTGCCGGGGCTGAAGTCTGATTCAAGATCTGGAGTGCATCCAGGAGGTGAAGGTCACAATTCCGTTGCTGTCGGCCGTGCCGAGGTCGGGAACGAAATCGAGGACAAAGACATTGTTCTTCAGGATTGCCTTTCCAATGTAAAGGCCTCCTCTCCCGTGGTACAACTTGAATTCTTGGGTGGTGCTGTCTGCCTCCAGGTGGATGCCTTTTGCCATCAGCTGACTAACGCTGAGTAAGTTGTAGCCGAGGCCTTCTGCTATTAAAACCTTCGACATCTGCAGTATAACGTTTGTCTCCCGTGACTGAAGTTGAACCATGCCTTGTCGTTGTGTGCGCAGGTTATGGTTATTGGCGACGGTGATAACTACTTCGCGTTCGAGTTGGTACTCTTGCTGCACAAAGCGTCCTGAAGAGCATATATGCTGCCCGCAGCAACTGTCCAAGAACCAAGTGTCTTTTCCGGACGGCTCAATTTGGGCGATAGCTGCATACGTCGGGTTCGGTTGAAGTGACTCGCGGCTGGGCGTACTGTTGTCGAGCTGTTCTTCCGGTGAGTAATGTGGCGATGACTCAGTGATGCAGGAGTCGGTCAATCTTGCCATGCAGCTGACAATGTTTCTTGCTCCTTGTGCAAGTTGTCCTGTCGATGTCGTTGAGACTTGTACTTGAGTGGTGAGATTCGCTTGTGTTGAGGCGACTTGACTGCTCGAAGGTCGAAGTTGCCGTTGTGTCTATGTTGATTGCTGTCGGTTGGGGCAGTGTGTGCGAGGATGCCCTGACGTCTTGCAGATATGATAGAACGGAGGTGCGGGCTTTGGTTGATGCCGGTTGTGATTGTTGTTGTAGCGCCATTGAGTGTGAAAAACGAATTCCGGTGCTGACGTTTTCTTCTTGAGTCGTTCTTCTTGCAGGTCCATGTTTTGCTGTTTGGCGTGAATCTCGGCGCAAAGTGCTGCTTCGGAAATTCTTCCGTGGGCTCGAAGAATGGCTTTTGTGGAGCGCCATTGAGGACCAAGGCCGCCGATGATGACTGTCACGAAGGCGTCTTCGGATATTGTTCCTCCGCATCGAAGAAGCTTGTCGCGCAACTCGCGACAGCGACTGATATACGCCATCCCCCTTTCGCCTGGTTTCATTTCAACTGTTGTCAGTTGTGCCATTAACCGACTCTGGTTGATGCTGTCTGTTGCGTGATACAGATTCTTCAAGTGGCTGTATGCGAGCTCGGCGGAGTTGCCGTGTCTCCGGTATGTCCGTATATTCTGCTGCTGATTCGGAGTGATGTTGCTCAGTAGGATTGTGTACGCCATCATTGACGGATAAATGTACTGCTGCTTGTCGTACTGTGTGCTATTTGTTGGGTATGGCAGGGATCCATCCAAGAAGCAAAGATTTTGCGCGCCTTCCATCATCAGCTCGAACTCAAATGACCAGATAAAGAATTCCTTCCCGTCAAAGGGTCTTGACAACTTCAGAACGTGTGCAAATTGCGTCTGAACTTGTAGTGCGTCCAATGTCTTCTCTTGTCCAGGTAAAGGCTGCTGCTGTTGATTTCCGCGCGCGTATGATGAGCCATCAAGACTCATGGGAGTCACATCGTTGTTGTTGTTGCTGTAGTTTGACTGCGCAGGTGCCGATTGCTGGTGTTGTTCGTAGAAGGACATGAAGGAGAAGAACTTCTCCACCATGCTCTTGTCGAAGCCTGCAGGTTGATTCGCAGGAGTTTCGGTAGACGTTGCCTTTGGTCTTGTTGCCGTACCCTCCCCTGTCTGTAGGCCAGAAGCAGGAGGTGGAGTAGGAGTAGGAGTAGTGCCGGGAGAACCATTAGAGGAAATTCTTTCCTTTTGGGTAGCTATGTCTTCTGATGTTGTAGGTGTCTTGATAGTAGATGAGTTCGCCCTGATACTCTCATTGTTGGTGTAAGGGCCTAATAAACTCAAGCTATTAAGACTTTATCGAACATAAAACCTCTCCTTGGGGTCACCTCCATAGGTCCTTGGGTGCCTGGTACAAGACCAGCCCCTATCCTCGGGTCCGTATGTAGAGAGACGGATCAAGAGGGACTTAGTCAAAACACCAAGAGTACCTTGAATGTTGTGCATATTATCGTGCAGACCGTCGATCGGATTAAGCTGAGAATTTCCTATATCGAAGCTCACTCCAAGAGATTTAAAATAAGCCAAATTGCATCGCGAAAAGTTCTGCCGTTACGAAGTTATGGCTCGGACAGCGTTTGCCTAGTGTTGGAGTGCTAGCGTACTAGCATTGACTCGGGTAGCATTCCGCCGACGCACCGCGTACAAACAAAATTCTAGGAAGGGAGGAATTTGCTTGAATCAAATTGACTATATTCAGGTACAAACAGAGAATGAATATATCGCTCAAGCTAGCATGGACCTTGGGAATCAACCTGGGAACAAATAGGGATGATCCCAAATAATTCCAAGCAACAGAACCAACCTGGCTGGAAAAAACAGCAGGTCGTAGGTTGGTAAACAACCTCTGGTTCTGTTTTTCCAACCTGGGAAAACAACAACCAGGTGCAGGTCCTAAAAACACAACCTGTTTTGTCTTTGCCCAACCAGCCAAATTCTGGTTCCGCAAACACATTCGCACACGCATACTCGTACAAACAGACGGCAGGATGTCGTGAAATGTGAATTTGCACCCAACACACTCTCCCTCAGCCTGCAGGCTGCATCCTCATCATTCCATCCTAGTCCATGCTTATTCCACGCATGCGCATACAACGCCAATGAGTCTCATCTGCAAGCCTCTTGGTGAGGAAGTCTGCTGGCTGCTGGTGAGTCTTGATGTAGATCGGATTCACCGTCCCCCTCTTCACCTCCTTACGCAGCCACTGCCACTTGAAGTTCTCCATCAGCTGCTGCTGCACCTTCTGGATCTCCTTCATGCTGCTGCTAAAGAGAAGAATGTCGTCCACATAGACCAGAAACAGCACCAGCTTCTCCCCCTCCCCCTTGAGAAAGAGGCTCTCATCACAGCTGCTGGTCCTGAATCCCATCTCCTCTAAAACAGCTGCCAACTTCTGGTACCCGCAGCGCGGCGCTTGCTTCAAGCCGTAGATGGACTTTCTCAGCTTGCACACCCTGCCCGTACCATTCTCATACCCAGGCGGCTGCGACATGTACACATCTTCCTCTAAAATCCCATTGAGGAATGCGGTAGATATATCCATCTGAATGATGAATTTCCCACTAACGAAAGCATCTGCCAACAAGACACGGAGGGTAGGGGGTTTGGCAGTGGGAGCAAAGATCTCCTTGAAGTCCCGCTTCTCCTTCTGCATAAACCCCTTAGCCACCAGCCTACTCTTGTAGATGGTGTCCTGTCCGTTGTCATCGGTCTTGATCCTTAGCACCCACTTGCTCTGTACGGCTTTCTTCCCCCCAGGCAGCACCACCAGCTCCCTTGTCCCATTCTCTAGCAGGCTCTGGTACTCAGCATCCCTGGAAACCAGCCACTTCTCCCTATCTGGTCCAGCTAATGCCTCCTCCATGCTAGCTGGTTCCTCTGGTGCAGGGGCAAGAAAACAGTAGGCAGGCTCATCCTCCTCATCTGGATCAGAGCCATGCGGTAGAATCAGCAATGCCTCCTCTGTCCCAAGCTGCTGCTCTGCTACATCAGCTGCTGCAGTCAGCTTCTTAGTAGCCATACGGGTACGTCCTGGCCTGGAGACAGGTGTCTCCCATCTCCTCATAACTACACCCTTCGACTTCATAGTTTTTCCCTTTTGCTGCTTTCCTCCCTCGAATCCAGCAGCTCCACTAGTGCTACCGCTAGTCTCCACACCATCACCTCCACCAGCAGGTTCCTCCTGCACCTTCTCTCCATCACCACCCTCTGCAGCTACCTCCTCTCCCTCCTCCCACACAGTAGGAGTCAGGTCCAGCTGCATGGTGATCTGCTCCATCTGCTGGGACACCCTGGCCTCCGGCTGTTTCTCCCAGCTCCCATACATCATGCCTTCAACAAACTTCATATCCGTGCTGTCAAACAACACACCCTTGGAAGGTTCTATGAGCAGCGCCCTAGGTGTCTCCAGAATTGTCCGGTTCGCCCGTTCTGCTACACAGTTGGACTGTGGGGTGTAAGCCGTGGTCAGCTCCCTCTGGATGCCCTACTTCTTGAGCCAGGCCGTCATCTCAGCTCCAAGGAACTCACCACCCCGATCTGTCCAAATCCGCTTCACCACACACTCCGCTTGCTTCTCCACGAATGGCAGCCAATCTTCCCGTATCGTAGAGGCGGCATGGTCTTTCTGCTTCAGCGGATATGTCCACATAAGCCTGCTCAAATCATCCACTATGGTCAAAATGTACCGCTCCCCCTTGTGTCCCTCAACCGGCAGTGGCCCCACCAAGTCCATGTGGACCAGCTCCAACGGCTTCTTGCTCCTGCCAGCCACACTATGGAAGGGAAAACGGGTAACCTTTGAGAGCAAACAGATTTCTTAATTCACATCAGGTGGCTGTCCGTTTAGCTTCAGACCCTTAACGGCTCCATCTTTCTCCAATTTCTTCAACAAAGGCATTGCCACATGCCCCAAGCGTCGGTGTGCCGTTGCCCAATCCGTCTCCCCAGATCTGGCCGACACTTTCACACCAACCCATCCAACGGCATTGCACTCCCCTTGGGATGCAGACCCCTCTCCAGCCTGCCCCCCACCATGCCACGCCAACGCCGGCAGCTGCCACATAGATCTCTACACGTCTGTGCTCTCGTACAGATCCCAAAGCACCCGATTGCCCAGCTGCCCCTTGTAAGTGCGTGCCCCATCCGTGCTAGTGCTCACCCCAGCCTTGCCAAGCTTACGGAGGGAGATGAGGTTGGCCTTGAGTTCAGGAACGAGAACAACGTTGTGCAGCACCACCGGCTTGCCATCCGCTCCCTTAAACGCAGCTCGTCCCGCACCAGCCACCTTCAGCGCGTGTCCAGAGGCGGAGCACATCTCGTTGATTGGTGCAGCTTGTACGTGGTCCAGCAGGTCCTTGCGCGGCATCATCGTCCAAGCAGCACCCGTGTCCAACACCCAATAATCCAGGGGGTGCAGCTCCGCTCCAACCTTGGCAGAGGCGTTTTCTTGCTCCCCTTGCTCTCCAATATGGAAGAACTGGCCCGCGGTGCGCTCCTTCTTCTTTTCCGCACCGCCGTTGCTCTTCGGGTTGTTGTCGGACGAATCGGCGACCATGCTCGCGCCGTTTTTCTGATTCCTCCGCGCGCCGCCATCCTGGTGACGATTCTGAGGGGTCCATCCATCGGGTTTCTTATAGCACAGAAACCAGGGGTGCCCCTCCTTCTCACAATACCAGCAACTCCCTTTCATTTTGCCACCAGCACCCGACTTGCCCCAACGTCCAGATTTCGCACCGCGACCCCAACCGGTACCTCCTTGTTGGTCGTTGGAGTCGTCGTCCTTCTTTGCACCGCGTCCAGCACCACCGAAGCCACGTCTTCTGCCACGTCGGCTCCCTTGCATCCCGTAGCCGCTACTGCCGTCGTCTCCACCCCTCAGTTGGCGGCGACGGAAGTCCTCCTCCAGAATCTTTGTCCGCACCCACTAGAGTGTCCATGAGCTCTG